TACATATATACATACATATATATATATATATATATATATATATATATATATACATACATACATACATACATACATACATATATACATATATATATATATATATATATATATATATATATATATATATATATATATATATATATATATATATATATATATATATATATATATATATATATATATATATATATATATATACAATTACACAACTAACATAACACTTGCAGAACTAGTATTGTTCGATGCTGAATTAATATAAACGGGTATGTTTATGACATTCAGTATATATTTCATAATTTCCAGTCTTAAATCCGTCTGACCGTGTAGCTCAGTAGGTAGAGAGTCGATCTAGTAATTCGAAGGTCGCGAGTTCGAGACCCAGCCGCGGCAGACAACATCTTTCTGCTCGCGCTGGGTATGGAAATTATATAATACACTCTCTAGAACATTTTCATCTTAACATGTTACAGAGTGTACAATTACACAACTAACATATATATATATATATATATATATATATATATATATATATATATATATATATATATATATATATATATATATATATATATATATATATATTTCAAACACTCATTAATAATTCATTAGCTTATTGGCAAATCATGTCAACCATAATATGTCACGTGCAGTGGCTTTAAACCTGATAAAACACTCCTAATTAGTATTCTTTATATAAAGAATACTAACAAGGTAGTATCTATTGTAGTCGTGTCCTTATTAGTATTCTTTATATAAGGAATCTAATAACTAATAAGGCAGTATATATATATATATATATATATATATATATATATATATATATATATATATATATATATATATATATATATATATATATATATATATATATGTATAATATACAGCTTGTATATTAATACCTAAATCAGGTAAATGACTAAATTCTCTGCCATAAATTCTCACACTGAAGGTTTGCCACTGAATAAAGTTAAGAAAATGTTGGCGAATGATGGATTTAAATTTGGGCCATGTTTAAACAGGCGCCTTGGCCATGTTTACACAACTTTGTCCGTCTCATGGTAGCGCAATGTTTTATCCAAAAATTTGTTATTTTTATGAGAAACTTATAGGAAAAAACATACTCCAAATAATAATGCCATCTTGTAAAACTCAAGATATGAGTTATCTCTTTGTCATCCGATCTCCGTCAGGTCCCAATTTGATTTTTACAATTCCAATTGTTTCTAACAGTGTAAATATCTCAGCGAGTATTTATCCCCTTTAAACATTACACAAACCCAAACAAATAGCAATCATACTTGGCCAAACATTGAATATCTTTTAAACTCTTCAGAATTCCCAAGTCAATGTGAGTAAAAAACTCCTCGTATTCAAGCGCTTTCATGTAGAAATTTGAATAAATTTTCGTTTGAATACGGCGAGTAGAAATATTTATTTTGAATTTTTCAAAATATCAGGTTTTACTCGCACGCGCGTGCTTCTTATTGGCCAAGTATAGCGTGTGGCACCCGTAGCCGGAACACCGCAAGTGGCCAAGGCTCTGTGTGGGTATTTATTTATTTATTTTTTATTTTATTATATTTTGCATTAAAAATTTACTTTAAATTATAAAGTATAGTTACTTAGTTTTCCTTTCTATATTATTTGGGGGTGATTTTTAGTAGCACTATTTAAAACACGAGTATAGGAGTGTTTTATACATACATACATTTTTCATATATACATACATCAACTTATTTTAAACATGGGAAAATCATCAGTAATTATTTATAACAAATTTTAAAAAATACATGCACAAATTAAAATACAGTTCTACCCGATTGCCGTGTGGTCTGTGGGAATCGGATCGATCATTTGTTAAGAAGGTTTCTAAACCCGTCTTAAAAGCAGTGAGAGAGGTTGCTGATCTGAGAGATCCTGGTAGGCTATTCCATAAAAAAGCTCCACGGTTACTGAAGGAGCGTTTCAAATAATCTGTGCGTGGTTTTGGGATATAGAGTTTACCATCAGAGTCAGGTTATAAATACTCTCACTGGGAGAAAACATCTCTTGTAAATAGACCGGTGT